CGAGGAAGAAAAAATAATAAAATAAAAAGTCCGTGCCCTCTAGTCTTTTGTGTTATTACCGCCGCGTTGTAATTGAAAATGAGTCAACAAATATACTTATCGAACATTTCGTTACAATATTTTTTCTCCAAATGTACGTAGTCTTTCATTATTTCAAAATAACTATTCTCTGAAACTAAACAGAAAGAAAGAAAGAGTTCATAAAATAAGCTTTTCTGTTAAAAAAAAAAAATCACAAAATAATAATGACCGAAACTGAAAAATACAACGATTGCAAAAATTCTGGATTTTAAATGTGTACTACTAGAGAGTTTTTCTATCCGGAGAAGAGAGACGAACAAGAAAAAGACTAGAAGTCCCAATATATACCCTAACTGAAAATTAATACGAACATGCCCACCAAGTTTTCTTGACAGTGAAGGTTACTAAGGTAAAAAGTATTATTCTTTCCTTGAGTTAATCCTGAGAAAGTTTTAAAAAAGCTTCTCTAAAAGAAGACTCTATTTCTTTCTTACTGAAATCCTTGAATATTTTCTGAGTAATAATATCTATTTTCTCTCTATTTTTTTAAAAATGTAATTGAACTTAGGTCACGTTTTAAAAACACCAAGTGATTTTTGTCGTTATGTTTAACTACAAAAAAGGTCAAAGGTATATTTATGTTTCTCTATTGATCGTTTTCCCATACTTTTTTATTTCTTTTTGTTTTGTTGAACCACAAATCGAGACAATATTAGTGGAAAAAAGTAATCAGAAAACACTGGGACTAAACTAAACGACTTGTTTATTTGCTATTCATTTATTCATCAATATTTTTTATTCCTTGCAAATTTTGCAAGTTTTAAAGTTAAATAAATGCATTGTATTTACGTTAATCTTTCAAGGCGTAAACAATCAACTTTATTTATTTTAATACCGGGTTTTACCTGCGCGAAAACCCCGACCACCACATCATCGGAACTTCCAAGTATATAATTTTTATCCAGTCTGAAATTGGTAGATATAGCGTCGGTATTACAGTATTTGCCGGCATACACATGTACTAGTACTGGAAATATGAACTAGAAAAAAAAAATTACTTCAAAAATTCACCCTCTCCATCGCAGCCGCTAAAAACCCGTCCAGATAATTCATAAAAATGAATGAAGTGTAGACAAACTCAAACTAGAAGCTAAAGCAAGAGGTGTAACCCACAAACATTTTTTTTTAAATTTATCAATGACAATGTTATACTTCCTCTTTTTTCTTTCTTTTTTTCTTTCTTTTATTCGCGTTTTCAATTTCAGTTACGTAACTCTACAATTAATCTACAATTTTACATTCATTTGAAAATAAAAATTTACTGCTTACTTATCGCATGTTGTGGAAAAATATTTTCGATGTCAGTTTGCTTTATAAAAAAGATTCAATCTAAAAATGCACGGTAAAACTTTTTACTTTTGTTTTAAGTTAAAACTTTTTTTTAAAACTATGGTGTTTATTCGGAGCGATGTAGCGGTTTTAGGTTTTTACCCCGTCGTTAAAACATTCATCGTACAACTCGTTGTGGGCTCAATCCTCATTAGGTGACTTGTGTCTCTAAACTTAGTAAGTGTGATTAGCTTCCTGTTTTTTTTTTTTTTTTGTTGTTGTTTTTTTTCTGTTTCCAACTAGTTATCTTGTTAAAATAAATAAATAAGTATCAAACAATAGAAGGTAAAGATGTCAAAGACACGTCCTTAACGAAATAATATTTGGCAAATCTACTGTACAGTTACTGCGAAAGGAATAAATGCTTCTTTCTTTAGTAAGTTATATTCACTTCCCGATAACTACAATCTTAACTTTTTCGAGTCTAGGGTTAAAAAAAAAGTTATCTTTCCTACATAACTCCATAAAGACACTTCGTGCCTTCTCTTTTACGCTCATAATCCTCTACAATACATCGAGTTGAGTGGTTCTTGTGGTTTATTAGGTGAACATTAGTTAAAAAAAACAAAAAAAAATTATCTTTTTATATACAATTAGTCATTTTTTGTTTACCCCCAAAATTTTCATTAGCTTTAAAATTGTCCCTTTTAATTTTTATACACACGCACGCACATAAAAGTTACAACTAAATTAAATTGTTCGTTTTCCTTTAAGAAAAAGATATTTTGGCAAGTATGTCGAATCATTTTTAGCCACTTTAAATTTACGAGATAAAATTGGGAATGCATTCCATAATCACGCACGCGTATACACGAGCGTATAACCACCACACACACACACACACACTCATACACGCAACTAGATACATACCATACTGACATTCGCATACCTACACACAGGTGACCTCGCTGTAATGAATATAGCGAGCAAGTGGTGGCTTCCACCTTAAATGGTCCTCAATCGGCCCCTGGAATTGTGGCCTTGCGCCATAACTAAACTACGCTTATAATCCTTATGACACTTTTATGGCTGTTAGTGTTTAGTTTTACTTTTATTCATAAATGCTCACCCCCATACACGCACAAATATTTACACACACACACGCACAAAGTAGTGCGCGCACGCATAGATACACACGCATACGCGAGATTCGTTACTGTGAAATGAAAGGAGGGAGAAATTATATTGCAAACTAGTGTGTTCGATCCTCACTGTGTGCCCCAAGCGGGTGTCCTCGTGCCAGACAGATTAGCGTAATTAATTTAAAAGAAATCCCTCTTACTCTTTCTCAAACACACACACTCACACACAGACATCGATACATAAGAAGAGGTTTTTCTCTGTTTTTTTTGTGTGTGTATGTGTGTGTGTGTGTGTGTGAAAGGAAAAGATGGTAGCAATCAGAAGTTTTCAAATTAAAAGTTTTAAAAATATAGCAATAATTTCATTGCAAAAAATAAATGAAACAATATAAATAAAAATATTATAAAGTCCTTGCTTTTTTGGACTTTGGAATCATAATGTTTCTACATTTTTTTTTTCGAAATGTCATTAAAAATACTGACCTTTTAAAAGTGTGTTAAAAAAATATTGGTAATTAATTACGACGACCTACGGCCAAATATTGTCCTATTTTTTCAGCTATAATTTAATTATGTTTTCTTTTTTCTTTATTTTTTTTCTTTTTGGCATTAATAACTTCAATTCATAATCTACACAGTAATAAACAAAAACATTCTTTGAATTTTTCATCAAATTTTTAATTGCATTTCTTTTTTTACGACGATCACCTGCATACCATTTTTAGAACTAAAACGATCTAATAAAATTTTTGTGAGATTTTTTTATATAAAAAAGTTAATGAAACAAGAAATTAACTATTTTTACTCAACTACTGTATAAAAACTGTAGTACTGTAAATCGTTCTGTTATTAAGCGGACGACATAGTAGCTATTCAAGAGGAAAAAGAGTTATTCCGAAGTCTTTTTAGTTTTTATTGTTTTTGTTAATTGTTGTTGCTGTTAGTCTTCTTCTTCTTCTTCTTCCTTTCTCTTTTATTCTTCTTGATTTGATTTTTTTATTATCGTTTTGTTTTTGCGAACTTTGAAATTTTTATTCGAATATAAATGAATTGAAACAACAAGATGCTAAGTATCATAAATAATATTTATAAAAATCAACGGGAAGGAAAAAATCAAAATAAAATCTGTTGTTGGAGAAGTGAGAAGACTTGTTGTCCCTTTATGAGTGTCAACGAAATAATAAACCAGACCCCAGCAGTTCAAAAACTCAAGCAAGAATAATAAATAAACCGTTGCTATATAGCAGGAAGAAAAAAAAAAGAAAAAAAAGTAATGATATTCAATTGTTATGAAACAAAAACACAGATTTAATAATTTTCAACTAGTATTGCACAATTTTTAAATCGGGTTGATTCCCACCTTAGACGCATTTTGTGATGAAACAAATGAGAAAAAAAATTAGAAAAACGCGTAAGCAGCTCAGTAAAGAAATGATGAAATAAGAAATAGGATTGAAAAAATAAAATCATAAAAGTTGTTTGTAATTTTATGACTCAAAAATAAAAAACAAAAAATTATTATTTTGATGATTTATAATTCAGTTAAATTATTAATTATGAATTTTAGACGGTCGAGTGCTGACGTTGTACACACACTTTAGGGCAAGTAAGGTTATTCAATAATCTAACAAAAATAAACACACACACACACCGGTTAAAAATAATTTCGGACAGACATACTTTCTAAAATATGAGAAAAAAACATTCGGAATTTTAATTTATTTATTATTTTTTTAATCTTTTCTCTTGGCCGAGCGAGCTGGGAACTGGTCGACATCCTTTTTGTTATTTTTATTTTATTTTATTTTTTTTTTAATTTTCCTATGGCCATGGGGACACTGGTGCTAAAAAAGTAAAACATAGGGGTAGATGCGTTTGTAAATACTAAATATCAACAATGTGGTCAGAGATCAATACTGTTGTTTTATGACGACTGTATACAGGACCGTCGCTAAGATGGATGGGTGGACAGGATTCATACACCCCCACCCCATAAATTTATTTGACCCTTATTTTGAAAATAATGTGAATTAAATTTCAGTGTGAAAATTCATACTTGCGGCCTTTCTGATTTAAAGTAAAGACCACCCCACCACAGAAAATACTATGACAAGGCCTTCCCTTACATAGTTTAAATCGCGCGCGCGTGTGTGTAAATAAATCTGGACGCCAAAAAACTTTTTTACATATATTTTTACATACACACATACATACATACATATATATATATATATATATATATATATATATATATATATATATATATATATACAATCCAATAATCATACATACACACATATATAACATGTTTATGTCTGTGCGTTTGCCATATGTTTAAGTGCGTACATTGTAAGCATGCGTGTATTTAAAATAATATGTATGTACAGGATACACTTAAAAACTTTATTTTACAAGTGCACTACTTTTTTTAAACATAATTCTTTTACCTCTTTGCCTAGCTTCTTGCTTTCTTTCGTTTTCCTTATCCATTTCTTCCGCGTTTGTTGAATGTATTCATACGCACACCGTATAAATAACGCATCAACTTTTTGCCAGTCATTGGTTCACCGATGTAAGATTCGTTCGCATCATCGACAACGGTCTGTACGCCGTCTATCTTACCCGGTGACTCTATGAATTGGCTTTTATTTGCTTTGACGTGTTAGAGTATAATCAGCAAGATTCCGGGCAAAAACAGAAGGGAGAACGGTTGTGGAGCTTTTGTTCAGGTGAGATAGCCACTTAAATTTCTATTCGATTAATAATAATACCAACAACATACACAAAAAATGATTTCTATACTGTAGCTGAAATTGGGGTTCAGTTTGTAAGTCTCTCTGCGTTTCAAACTGATCCCCCACTTAGCGACCATATAATGAATCATGTTGTATTTTCATTCATACTAAAAACTTGACGTGATTATTTTCGTGTTCCTTCTGAATCATGTAGATGATTTACTGTTTCTGTAGTTAAATTCTTAAAATATCCGAATTAAATTCATTCTGAGAGTAAACAGCTTTAAAAATAATATTAATAAAAAAAAAAAATGGTTTCTTTTGTGATTTGTCGACCATTTCTGATATTGCGTGAAAAATGCAGACAATCTAATTTTGTATATTTTTTTTTGTTAAAAATGTAAATATTATCTAATTTTGTCATTTAAATTGGTTTAGTACACACACAATACAAAAATACATATTTCTCGTGATATAGAAAGTAATACAATATTGTTTCTTAAAAACCTTTTATGGTATGACCTTTTCTAATGTCTGTAAAAACAAGAGAGCGTAAATGACTGATCAGAATAAAGTCAGCTTTTTCTGAAGATTTTTTTTATTATTTAAAAGAAAAAAGCTATTTGAATAAAGTATTTAATGTCGATTTCATAAAATTATAAAAATGATACGGTGGATGAATAAATTTCATTTAGTCATTAGCGCTAATTAACACTATGCAAATATAGTCTTTTGTTTCTTTTTAATTATGATTGAAATTAGTGTAAAGTTTTTGCCACGAAAAAAGTGATTTCATTCTCACCTGATTTTTTTCTGACCATTAAATTTATTTTTAGCAAGTTTTAAATAAGATAAAGTAAAGATAATTCTTAAAAAAAAAAAAAAACTCAAATCGAAATAATACAATTTATAATCTAATTAACTTTGAAACATTTTTGTCTCCTAAAACGATCACCTTCTTTTTAAAAAAAAAAAAAAAAAAATGTTACCTTAAAAAATAATGATGACAATAATAAATACTTAAAACTAGTTTTAAGTCGTTATTTTAACCAACCTACGTATTACTTACTAAACACAACGTATAGAAGACTTTGATGTAGTGGGAAAAGGTGAAGTTGCTTCGAATGTGTTCTCACTTTCCTTAAGGCTATATATAGACATCTACTTATTACTTACTACAAAATATATACATCATCTACTATGACAGTTCTCCCTTGTTACAGTCTGAAAAAAAAAAAGGTAAATAATGATAGCTTTTCTGATGCTCCCACCTTAGGTAGAATGTAAATTTGTACATGAAAATGTGTACAACATAATTCATTACCACATGTCGTCTATCTTGTAGTAAAATTCTGTCTGCCTTTTTTGTTTGATCCTGACTTAGTAATTTACTTACATCGTTGCAGTAGTAATTACTCGTTTGTCTTCAATTGCTGCTACTAACATCCTCATCATGTCTATAGGGGTCAGTCCTTTTTAGCTCATATGATAAAATTAGTTAGAAAAAAAGTCGATCCTGTTTTGATCAGTCAGCTCACGATCAAGCCCAACCTCATGTTTAGTTTCTTCATTACTTATTTTTTTAACACGTTTGCATCCTCTGGCGATAATCCATACTTGTAATTCCTCCCAACTCGCCAAAACTAGGCCTCGTCGTTATGTATTGTATTGCTGTGCGTGGATCGTGTCTAGCACCGAATTTTGGCACTTTTTTTTCTATGATCATTTTGTTTATTCGTAAGAATAAAAAAAAAATAAAAGTACTACTAAAACGGTTTAAAATACTTTCTAGCTGGGCTATGACTAAGTCTGTTATTCTGAATCTACTTGTGGCTGGCTGTGAAAGTGCCGACTGAAATATGAGATTAAACAATAGGATGATTCATGCCACTATCATTGTGTAGTACGATACATACACATACTGTCTTTTCCCTCATAGGTAAGACAAATTTTGAACTTTAACCTTAGTCCAGCCGGTGTTCTTTTCATTTTAATTACAATAGTGAGGGATTATTGATTGGTTGTAAAAAGAACAGCAATCATTGAGATGTATATATTTTCAATGTTTTACAATGATTATGATCATCCCATTTAAAGTAAATATTAAAAAGGGTATCTAAATTTGTCAGCTTAAATAGATTTTGACATTGTATTGATAAGTGTAACAACCACTTTCATCTTTGCAGAAATGTAAATTTTCAAATTGATACAAAAAAAATATCTTGAGGCTAGTATTTCTTGTGAGTGCATTTTAAGAATTATTAGTTTTAAAATATTACTTTTTCATAAACAAAAAAATAAACGGCTTTAGGGTTTTTTCTTGTGAGAAACTTGAAGAAAAAACTTAGCAATATGAAATTCTTCACGGGAGAAACAATTTTTGTCAAGTATCTCTTTATATCGCCTTATATAAGAAGCCTTACAGGTACATGCCACTGTGAATGGATGTTCTCGTTAAAAATTTCTAGGTAAAATGAATTTTTTTTTTTTTTTTTTTTTTTTTTTTTTCTAAAATTAAAAAAATTGTTCTCGGTTTCTTATCAATGTTTCACTTTTTAATAAAAACTAGTTATCCTGATAACTGTAGTAATAAAAAAAAAAAATTATTTCAAGACCAAACATTTTCTTTGGATAGTTTTAAATGTTATTTTTCCCCTGGTCGCTTCGTTGGGAGAAATCAATTGTAAGAAAACAAAGATGATAAAATAACTCTTCAAAAGTCAACAATCATAAAATGATTGTCGTTCCTGTTCTACAATATATTGGCCACGTGAACAAATACAACTTTCCCCATAAATTCCCTTATTGTAGGCTAAATAACTCTTATTTCATAAAATTTCTCGGTTTTTATTTCTATAATTGATCTTGTAACCTAAAAGAAAAAAATGTTTTTTAAGCTTGAACAATATTGGTGATGGTTGGAAATCGCTTGGTAAAGTGTTGTGGGGACAGCAAACCTTGCCTGCTTCATTGAATGTTTTCCAATATTTTTAGAACAAGAGTTGCTATCGATCAAAGTAAAACTTATTAAACCCGTTTTTTAACTTTATTTTTCTGGAATCTTGTTTTCTTTTAAAGTAATTGCCTCCTACGGGAATACAATGACGTTGTTGTAAATGTTGGCATTTTAATAAACAAAATTATCTTTATTTATATAAATTGCCTCGATAGCATAAGTAATTAACTCATTGGTAATTAGATTACTCAAGTTTCATTCCCGTCTTCGCCAGATCACATTTTTTTTTTTGGGGGGGTTGTTTTTTCATTATCTCTCATTCTGTTTTTGTCTCGAACAAACTGAAGGATTTCACAATTTCTCGACCTTTTACAAGATGTCAAGGTGATAGCTAATAGATTCTATGACTCTTAGGTTGAATTATTTGAACAGAAAATATTTTCCTACACATTAACTGGGTATTGTTTTTCTAAGCAAAAAGTTATACGCCTGGCACTTATGACAATGCTAGCGCAAATCCGTTGACCTTATGGAAACTGAATCAAAATTCCTTTAAGCTTTTTCGTTTCTCTAAATTGCTCTAAAACCTTTAAGACATTCATCAATAATCTGTGGGGGTCTGATGTTTTCGATTTTTTGGACATAAGAGTACTGTGTAACCTTTTTGCTTATTTGCCATTGTACAAAAATCCTTTATGTATTTGTCATGAGTTTGACCCCATTATTTCTACTACTACGTAGCACACATCTGCTAGTCGAAACCTCAAGATATAAGCTTTTTTTCTCCTTTTATAGTCGCCTCTTTGTCATTCTTTATGAATGGGACTCTGGGTTTTACAGCTTCGTAAACTTCTCAATGGAAGTGAGATTTGAAACGGGTCACAGCAAAAAAAAAAAAAAAAAAAAGTGGGAGAGGCGGTGTAGCGTGGTACGAATAGATAAAACCGAACTATGCCCTTCCCTTCGTCTAGAATGTGTACTTTTAGCACGTCCCCAGGGTGTATTGTATTTGTATTGTACGCAGCTATCTGGTTGGAAAAATGAGCCATCACTTTTGTCTACACGCTCTGTGTGGTAAAACGAAGCCTTATATTGGGACGGGGGCCGCTTGCAGATGGTCCATTCGCTGAATGAATGAAAACGTCTGTATTCAGTTAGTGTTGCTTTGACCTGAAAATACTCGTCCAAAAGTGCAAAGAACTTTGGTTATTTGTTTAAAAATTGGCCAAAAGATCTTTAGCATCTTTTTATTTATTTTTTTAAATGTTATCTTCAATATTCAGCCAGCAAATAGTCTTACTAAGGCAGCGTGCCTAAAACCAAAACCTTAACATAACTTTGATAAAAATAGAAAATGAATCATTTTCTTAGGAAGAGCTAGAGGAACTATGTTGTCCGTACTCATCCTACCCTTGGTGGATGAGGTTTTTAGTAACTAAGAAGTTATGGAATCCGATGAGTTTTTAGAGACAAAATGCCACAGTTGTCTGTTTCTTAGTCAGACGCCGAATTTGGCGTTTTTGAATTTGTGAACCTCAAACTATTTCGGCCTCTTGTAAAACAATTTTTAACTTTTGATTAAATCAAATGTCTATTCTTCCTTAAGTTATTTAATTACCAACTTGATGTTTATATTTTCGTAATTATTTTAACTTCATCTAATTAGTTGACTTAAATGTGCTAGATTTTGTTGGTTTGTTCACTTTTTTTTTTTTAAACGGACAGCAGAAGATACATCCTTCACTTGAAAGGGTTAATATTTGTTTCCTAACTGAAAATACATTGTTAGTAAATGAACTATCATATTTTTAATGTTAAAAATTGTGCTTGCTTAATTTCATTTTTAACATTTAACCTTATAACGTTTAATCAGATTTCTATAATTTTTATTTTAAATTTAATAAAATCATTTAAAAAAAAAAAATACTTTCTCTTTAATACTGACTACTCTGCTGTTTTTAACAGCTTTAAAACACATTCATACACGCGACAATGGCCCGGGCACAGCTTGCTTGTCATTAAATACTTGACGATAGTA